GGCCTGAGGCTGAAGGTCCTGTGGAGAGGCCCCGAAGTGGAGTTCCCTGGGCCCCTTTGCCTGAGGGCTGAAGGGTCCCTGTGGAAGAGGCCACCTGGAAAGTGGAGAGTTCCTCCTGGGACACCCTCTTGGCCTGAGGCTGAAGGTCCCTGTGGAAAGGCCACCGGAATGGAGAGTTCCTCCTGGACACCTCTTGCCTGAGCTGAAGGTCCCTGTGGAAGAGGCCACCCGGAAAGTGGAGAGTTCCTCCTGGGACACCCTCTTGGCCTGAGGGCTGAAGGGTCCCTGTGGAAGATGCCACCCGGAAATGGAGAATTCCTCCTGGGACACCCTCTTTGGCCTGAGGGCTGAAGGGTCCCTGTGAAAGAGGCCACCCCGAAACGGAGAGTTCCTCCTGGGACACCCTCTTTGGCCTGAGGGGTGAAGGGTCCCTGTGGAAGAGGCCACCTGGGAAGTGGAGAGTTCCTCCTGGGACACCCTCTTGGCAAGAGAGCTGAAGGGTCCCTGTGTAAGAGGCCACCCGGAAATGGAGAGTTCCTCCTGGGACACCCTCTTTGGCCTGACGGCTGAAGGGTCCCTGTGGAAGAGGCCACCCGGAAAAGCAGAGTTCCTCCTGGGACACCCTCTTTGGCTTGAGGGATGAAGGGTCCCTGTGGAAGAGGCCAAGTGGAAAGGGCAGAGTTCCTCCTTTGACACCCTCTTTGGCCTGAGGGCTGAAGGGTCCCTGTGGAAGAGGCCCCTCCGAAAGTGGAGAGTTCCTCCTGGGACACCCTCTTTGGCCTGAGTGCTGAAGGGTCCCTGTGGAAGAGGCCACCCGGAAATGCAGAGTTCCTCCTGGGACACCCTCTTTGGCCTGAGGGCTGAAGGGTCCCTGTGGAAGAGGACACCCGGAAAGTGGAGAGTTCCCCCTGGGACACCCTCTTTGGCCTGAGTTCTGAAGGGTCTCTGTGGAAGAGGCCACCTGGAAAGTGGAGAGTTCCTTCTTGGATACCCTCTTGGCCTGAGGGCTGATGGGTCCCTGTGGAAGAGACCACCCGGAAATTGAGAGTTCCTCCTGGGACACCCTTTTGTCCTGAGGGCTGAAGGGTCCCTGTGGAAGAGGCCACCCAGAGAGTGGAGAGTTCCTCCTGGGACACCCTCTTTGCCTGAGGGCTGAAGGGTCCCTGTGGAAGAGGCCACCCGGAAATGGAGAATTCCTCCTGGGACACCCTCTTTGGCCTGAGGGCTGAAGGGTCCCTGTGGAAGAGGCCACCCGGAAATGGAGAGTTCCTCCTGGGACACCCTATTTGGCCTGAGGGATGAAGGGTCCCTGTGGAAGAGGCCACCAGGAAAGTGGAGAGTTCCTCCTTGGACACCCTCCTGGCCTGAGGGCTGAAGGGTCCCTGTGGAAGAGGCCACCCGGAAAATGGAGAGTTCCATCTGGGACACCCTTTTGGCCTGAGGGCTGAAGGGTTCCTGTGGAAGGGGCCACCTGGGAAGTGGAGAGTTCCTCCTGGGACACCCTCTTGGTCTGAGAGCTGAAGGGTCCCTGTGGAAGAGGCCACCCAGAAATGGAGAGTTCCTCCTGGGACTCCCTCTTTGGCCAGAGGACTGAAGAGTCCCTGTGGAAGAGGACACCCGGAAAATGGAGAGTTCCTCCTGGGACACCCTCTTTGGCCTGAGGACTGAAGGGTCCCTGTGGACGAGTCCACCAGGAAAGTGGAGAGTTCCTCCTGGGACACCTTCTTGGCCTGAAGGCTGAAGGGTCCCTGTGTAAGAGGCCACCCGGAAATGGAGAGTTCCTCCTGGGACACCCTCTTTGGCCTGAGGGCAGAAGGGTCCCTGTGGAAGAGGCCACCTGGGAAGTGGAGAGTTCCTCCTGGGACACCCTCTTTGCCTGAGAACTGAAGAGTCCCTGTGGAAGAGGTCACAGGGTAATGGAGAGTACCTCCTGAGACACCCTCTTTGGCCTGAGGGCTGAAGGGTCCCTGTGGAAGAGGCCACCCAGAAAACGAGAGTTCCTCCTGGGACAGCCTCTTTTGCCTGATGGCTGAAGTGTCCCTGTGGAAGAGGCCACCCGGAAAGTGGAGAGTTCCTCCTGGGACACCCTGCTGGCCTGAGGGCTGAAGGGTCCCTGTGGAAGAGGCCACCTGGGAAGTGGAGAGTTCCTCCTGGCAAACACCTCCCTTGGCCTTTGGTGCGGCCCTGCAGGCAGGCTTGGGCAGAAAACCTGCAACCTCAAGACCACTGTCAGGGGATGTCAACTGCAAGGGCACCCAGGACCCGGATGCATCCAGCCTGACATGGCATTTTCTGTCCTTTTGGACCATGGGGCTGTGCTCCCTTGCATGAGCGCAAGGTGCCCAGGTCCCCTGGATGCGGCGGCCAATTTCCAAGGCTTGTCAGGATCTCCTGGGACGCACCACCGGGGGCTCGATGGGCCCCAGGGAAGAACCCTGTGGGACCCTTGGATCTGGAGCAATGCCCACCTGGGCAGGACGGTGGAGGGAGGAGATTTGGCAGGGAACATCTGTCCACCATCATGGAGGACCCTGCTGAGCCCCGTGAAAGGGGACCACTGTCCCACCCTGGCCCAGGTATGTGAGACTTTGGGCCGAGGGACCCTCCGCAAAAGGTGCCCCCGGGATTCTTAGCCCTGTGGGTGAGCGCCCCTCTCCCAGGGGCGCTCATTCTCCAGGGTTCCTGGGGGTGGAGCACCCTCGGCCCCCAGCGCTCAGGCTGCTGGGGTCCTGGGGGTGAGCGCCCCTCACCCAGCAGGGCCCCTGAGGCCCTGATTGTGGAGGGGAGCCACCCTGGCCCTCCTGGGACCAGGCTTCCCTAGTTCCTAGGGTTGAGCGCCCCTCCCTTTGGCAGGGCTGGGTCTGGCCTGCTGGATATGGTGAGCGCCCCAGGCTGCAGCCTCCAGTCCCCAGGACTCTCTGGGCCCTGCTGGTGAGCGCTCCTTGCCCGAGGGTCCTTGGTGTGCCCGGGCCTCTGGGGCGAGCCCCCCAGGCGCGCCAGGGATCGGTGAGCTCTGGGGCCCTCGGGTGATCGCCCCTCGCCCGATGGTCCCCAGTGTCCTCTGTGTCCTGAGGCTGAGCGCCCGTGGCTCAGACCCCTCTGGGTCCTATGGGTGAGCACCCCTCACCCAGCAGTGCCCAGTGGGTCTCCTCTGGGGCCCGTGGGTGGCGCCCCTCCCTCGCCAGTGGTCAGTATGCCCTGGGCCCTGTGGGGGAGCGCCCCTCGTCTGCCAGGGCCCAGTCTCCTCTGAGCCCAAATGCCACCTGGTGACTGGGGAGTGAACTGTGTGGGTGGGGCCTTTCCCTCCTGGCCTGGGACACCCTCTTGGCCTGAGGGCTGAAGGGTCCCTGTGGAAGAGGCCACGCGGAAATGGAGAGTTCCTCCTGGGACACCCTCCTTGGCCTGAGGGCTGAAGGGTCCCTGTGGAAGAGGACACCAGGAAAGTGGAGAGTTCCTCCTGGGACACCCTCTTGTCCTGAGGGCTGAAGGGTCCCTGTGGAAGAGGCCACCTGGGAAGTGGAGAGTTCCTCCTGGGACACCCTCCTGGCCTGAGGGCTGAGGGGTCCCTGTGGAAGAGGCCACCCGGAAATGGAGAGTTCCTCCTGGGACACCCTCTTTGGCCAGAGGGCTGAAGGGTCCCTGTGGAAGAGGCCACCTGGAAAGTGGAGAGTTCCTCCTGGGACACCCTCTTTGGCATGAGGGGTGAAGGGTCCCTGTGGAAGAGGCCACCCGGAAATGGAGAGTTCCTTCTGGGACACCCTATTTGGCCTGAGGGATGAAGGGTCCCTGTGGAAGAGGCCACCCGGAAAGTGGAGAGTTCTTCCTGGGACACCCTCCTGGCATGAGGGCTGAAGGGTCCCTGTGGATGTGGCCACGCGGAAAATGGAGAGTTCCATCTGGGACACCCTTTTGGCCTGAAGGCTGAAGGGTCCTTGTGGAAGGGGCCACCTGGGAAGTGTAGAGTTCCTCCTGGGACACCGTCTTTTGCCTGAGGGCTGAAGGGTCCCTGTGGAAGAGGCCACCCGGAAATGGAGAGTTCCTCCTGGGACACCCTCTTTGGCCAGAGGACTGAAGAGTCCCTGTGGAACAGGACACCCGGAAAGTGCAGAGTTCCTCCTGGGACACCCTCTTTGGCCTGAGGGCTGAAGGGTCCCTGTGGACGAGTCCACCAGGAAAGTGGAGAGTTCCTCCTGGGACACCTTCTTTGCCTGAGGGCTGAAGGGTCCCTGTGGAAGAGGCCACCCAGAAATGGAGAGTTCCTCCTGGGACACCCTCTTTGGCCTGAGGGCTGAAGGGTCCTTGTGGAAGAGGCCACCCGGAAAGTGGAGAGTTCCTCCTGGGACACCCTCTTGGCCTGAGGGCTGAAGGGTCCCTGTGGAAGAGGCCACCTGGGAAGTGGAGCGTTCCTCCTGGGACATCCTCTTGGCCTGAGAACTGAAGAGTCCCTGTGGAAGAGGCCACTCGGTAATGGAGAGTACCTCTTGGGACACCCTCTTTGGCCTGAGGGCTGAAGGGTCCCTGTGGAAGAGGCCACCCGGAAAGTGGAGAGTTCCTCCTGGGACACCCTCTTTGGCCTGAGGGCTGAAGGGTCCCTGTGGAAGAGGCCACCTGGGAAGTGGAGAGTTCCTCCTGGCAAACACCTCCCTTGGCCTTTGGTGCGTCCCTGCAGGCAGGCTTGTGCAGAAAACCTGCAACCTCAAGACCACTGTCAGGGGATGTCAACTGCAAGGGCACCCAGGACCCGGATGCATCCAGCCTGACATGGCATTTTCTGTCCTTTTGGACCATTGGGCTGTGCTCCCTTGCATGAGCGCAAGGTGCCCAGGTCCCCTGGATGCGGCGGCCAATTTCCAAGGCTTGTCAGGATCTCCTGGGACGCACCACCGGGGGCTCGATGGGCCCCAGGGAAGAACCCTGTGGGACCCTTGGATCTGGAGCAATGCCCACCTTGGCAGGACGGTGGAGGGGGGAGATTTGGCAGGGAACATCTGTCCACCGTCATGGAGGACCCTGCTGAGCCCTGTGGAAGGCGACCACTGTCCCACCCTGGCCCAGGTAAGTGAGACTTGTGGCCAAGGGACCTCCGCAAAAGGTGCCCCCGGTGTTCTGAGCCCTCTGGGTGAGCGCCCCTCTCCCAGGGTCGCTCATTCTCCAGGGTTCCTGGGGGTGGAACACCCTCGGCCCCCAGCGCTCAGGCTGCTGTGGTCCTGGGGGTGAGCGCCCCTCACCCAGCAGGGCCCCTGAGGCCCTGAGTGTGGAGGGGAGCCACCCTGGCCCTCCTGGGACCAGGCTTCCCTAGTTCCTAGGGTTGAGCGCCCCTCCCTTTGGCAGGGCTGGGTCTGGCCTGCTGGATATGGTGAGCGCCCCAGGTGGCAGCCTCCAGTCCCCAGGACTCTCTGGGCCCTGCTGGTGAGCGCTCCTTGCCCGAGGGTCCTTGGTGTGCCCGGGCCTCTGGGGCGAGCCCCCCAGGCGCGCCAGGGACCGGTGAGCTCTGGGGCCCTCGGGTGATCGCCCCTCGCCCGATGGTCCCCAGTGTCCTCTGTGTCCTGAGGCTGAGCGCCCGTGGCTCAGACCCCTCTGGGTCCTATGGGTGAGCACCCCTCGCCCAGCAGTGCCCAGTGGGTATCCTCTGGGGCCCGTGGGTGGCGCCCCTCCCTCGCCAGTGGTCAGTATGCCCTGGGCCCTGTGGGGGAGCGCCCCTCGTCTGCCAGGGCCCAGTCTCCTCTGAGCCCAAATGCCACCTGGTGACTGGGGAGTGAACTGTGTGGGTGGGGCCTTTCCCTCCTGGCCTGGGACACCCTCTTGGCCTGAGGGCTGAAGGGTCCCTGTGGAAGAGGCCACCCGGAAATGGAGAGTTCCTCCTGGGACACCCTCCTTGGCCTGAGGGCTGAAGGGTCCCTGTGGAAGAGGACACCAGGAAAGTGGAGAGTTCCTCCTGGGACACCCTCTTGTCCTGAGGGCTGAAGGGTCCCTGTGGAAGAGGCCACCTGGGAAGTGGAGAGTTCCTCCTGGGACACCCTCCTGGCCTGAGGGCTGAAGGGTCCCTGTGGAAGAGGCCACCCTTAAAGTGGAGAGTTCCTCCTGGGACACCCTCTTTGGCCTGAGGGCTAAAGGTTCCCTGTGGAAGAGGCCACCCAGGAAGTGGAGAGTTCCTCCTGGGACACCCTCTTGGCCTGAGGCCTGAAGGGTCCCTGTGGAAGAGGCCACCCGGAAATGGAGAGTTCCTCCTGGGACACCCTCTTTGGCCTGAGGGCTGAAGGGTCCCTGTGGAAGAGGCCACCGTGAAAGTGGAGAGTTCCTCCTGGGACACCCTCTTGGCCTGAGGGCTGAAGGGTCCCAGTTTAAGAGGCCACCCGGAAAGTGGACAGTTCCTCCTGGGACACCCTCCTGGCCTGAGGTCTGAAGGGTCCCTGTGGAAGAGGCCACCTGGGAAGTGGAGAGTTCCTCCTGGGACACCCTTTTGGCCTGAGGGCTGAAGGGTCCCTGTGGAAGAGGCCACCCGGAAAGTGGAGAGTTCCTCCTGGGACACCCTCTTTGGCCTGAGGGCTGAAGGGTCCCTGTGGAAGAGGCCACCCGGAAGTGGAGAGTTCCTCCTGGGACACCCTCTTTCGCCTGAGGGCTGAAGGGTCCCTGTGGAAGAGGCCACCTGGAAATGGAGAGTTCCTCCTGGGACACCCTGTTTGGCCTGAGGGCTGAAGGGTCTCTGTGGAAGAGGCCACCAGGAAATGGAGAGTTCCTCCTGGGACACCGTCTTTGGCCTGAGGGCTGAAGCGTCCCTGTGGAAGAGGCCACCCTGAAAGTGGAGAGTTCCTCCTCGGACACCCTCTTGGCCTGAGGGAATGGAATTGCTAGATTATATGGTAAATCTACATTTTGCTTTTTGAGGAACTGCCAAACTGTTTCCCAAAGTGGTTGTCCCATTTTATAGTCATACCAACAATGCTAGGGTTGAAATTTCTCCTTATTCTTGATGAGACTTATCTGTTTTATTCTAGCCATTCTAATGAGTATGAAGTGGTATTTTCCATAATGACTAGCAGTGTTAAGCATCCTTTCATGTGCTTATTGGCTACACACACACACACACACATACACACACACAAAAAAACACACACATTCAAATCCTATTCAAATCCTTTCCTCAGTTTTCAAAAGGCTGTATTTTTTTATATTTTTATTTTTTAGTTTTTTAGGTGGACACAATATCTTTATTTTTATGTGGCACTGAGGATTTAACCCAGTGCCTCATTCATGCTAGATGAGCTCTCTACCACTGAGCCACAACCCCAGCCCCACAATAGGTTGTAATTTTAATGTAAGTTTTTTTTTAATTCATTCTGGATACTAGACCATTATTAGATATATGATTGGCAAACATTCTGTTTTTATTTTGGCTTCATTTTCACTTCCTTGATAGTCCCCCTCTTTTTTGGGGGGGGCACTCCATCACTGAGCCACATCCCCAGCCATATTTTTGTATTTTGTTTAGAGACAGGGTTTCACTGAATTGCTTAGTGCTCGCCATTGCTGAGGCTGGCTTTGAACTTGTAATCCTCCTGTTTCAGCCTCCAGAGCCACTTGAAACACACAAAAAAATTATTTTTGGTCAGGTTAGTGGTAAGAAAACTTTTCCACTTCCAACTGGGGTTTATTTGAATTTTCCACATCCAACTAGGGTACATTATGAATCTGCAAATTAATTGAGAGAATGTTTTCTATTGTGCTTTTGATGCCAATGAGACTGGGCTGTCTAACTTCATAGCAGCTAAATTTGCAGGAAGCTCTCTGGGAGATGTTGTGGTGTGAACTGATAAATACAACCAATAAGAGGGTAAATTATAAGTTATAGGTTAGTAAAAAATATAGATTATAGGTATAAGATTTTGATAAGTGAGATAAGACAATTATAAAGCAAAAACTGTTATAGATAGGCCTAAGACTCCATTTTGCTGCCTTCTGTAAAAATTGTTAGAAGAGCTGTTTCTGAGAAACTGAAATTAAAGCTGTTTTCTTATAAAAATTGTCTTTCTGTACTTTGTACCCTACAAATTGTACCCTACTCAGGATGCAGCGGTGGTCGGTAGTCATGGTGAGCTACATCCTGGGTGTGAATGCCCTTGTAGGTCTGCATGACTTTGCAATAGATTCTCACTCCTCCGACACCGCCTAAATTCAGGATGCAACTGTCTAGCACCTGATGAACCCAGGACTGTGGGCAACTGAACTGCAAAGCTAATGCTTTTTTTTTTTTTTTTAGCTTCTGGCTTGCTTGCTGACTGGAAAATTCCAGTCCTGCCTAGAGCCCACAGGTTCCACTTATTAATTTCTATGATTGGCTAACTCACATGGCGATAAGCAAGTCACTACTAAGTTGTGGTTTTGTCCTTATATTCTCTTTGGATGGACCAGGAAGCTGCTATCCTCCCACAGAGCTTGAGTCTCCAAGGTGGGTGACAGTCCCTGGCCAGGTAAATAAAGCTCTCTTTTGATTTGAAATTTGGACTTAAAAGTGCTGAGGCGTCTCCCCATAACATGAGAGTTAATGGTAATTGTATTTTCTGGTGACTGTTCTTTGGTCAGATAAAGGCATTTCATATATGATTTCCTTCTGCATTGTCTTTAGCTCAAATACTTTTATTTTAAAATAATCTTTATACCAACTCTAGGAGTTTTATCAGGTCTACATAAGTTTAACTTTTCTCCTCCCCCTTCTCCTTTTCTTTCTCTTCTTCTTTGGTTGGCATGCTTTGGGTTGATGTGTAAGAAACCATTACTTAATCCAAGTTCACAAAGATTTTTATCCATGCTTTCTTATAAAAATTTCCTAGTTTTAGTGCATACATTAAGTTATTCCATTTATTTTGAGTTGATTTTTGCAAATGGTGTGAAGTAGGGGTCCAGCTTCATGCTTTTGCAAATGGGTACCTTGTACCAATACCATTTGTTGTAAAGGTGACTTCCATAATGAATTATTTTAGCACCACTGTTGAAAACCAATCAACCATTTGTGTTTTATTTCTAGACCCCTAATTCTAATCCTGGGTCCATAAGTCTATGAGATGACCAGGGGTGCAGGAAAGAGGGAGCCATAATTTTCAGACGCAACTGAGGCAGAAGATGACTGGATTGAACATCTGTCTCTGCCTCTCCAGTGACCCCAACAGCCTCCTTCCCTGTCTGGGCAAAGGGCCACATAGGTAGGCAGGGCCATTCCCCCTTACAGGGTGAGAACTCAGAGAGAAGCGTTTCAACATTGCCCTTCCCGCTCGCTGTTCTCAGAGGCAGGAACGTCAGATGCCCCAGCACCAATGCGCTTGTGGCGCGCGCACCTGCTCAGCCAAGTGCGCCTGCGTAGGTTTCGCTTGCGCCTGCGCATAACCCACTTTCTGTGCTTTTTTTTTTTTTCCTGAGGCGTGAAGGTTGGCTCTCGCAGACTGGGGTCTTTCGTCGACGGTTGACCGAGGCGGGGAAACTTGAGGGTTCAAGTTGTGTGTAATATTGTAGTGGGGGCGGTCAAGAAGGGGAAACCCTTGCGTTGGCTCTAGTTATAAACCGCTGCAGGTCCCCTGGGTGGGGCAGGAACCTCGCCGCCTCTCCCGGCAAGGAGAGGCCCAAACTTGCCCTTCTGGCTTCTACCTGAGGCAACGGTCTTTGGGGACGGAAGCGTACCACACAGCCGCTTCACTAAGCCACTCAGGTCCAACTGGAAGTAGGAATTGTGTGATCCAGGGGAGGATTTCTCACTTTAAAAATCAGTTTATTTTGATCGCGACACTTGAAGATGTAATGGCCCTTGTAGGCGCCCTTTTGTGTTTAGGATATAATTTGTATTGAGAAAAAGTGGCATGACTTCTGTTTTGGTTCCTAGAATAGAAGAACCCAGAGTATTTTCAGAAGGGTCTATTATATCTAGTTTCAAGTCAAGATAGAGAAACAAAGCAGAGGCAGTCCCTCACCTCATGTTTCCCAAGTTTTATTTTTACAATGATATTTGGAAGTTAATATTTACCTAAGTCCGATTTGCATCATTCCTTACTGGTGTTTATGTCTCTATGTATTATTGGGTAGGGAATTTGGAGCCGAAATGATCTTAATTTTAAGTTTGTATCTTTGCTTTTCACTCATGCAGTGGGCAAGTAGTTATTGAATTTGATTGAAATATATTAGGAGGCTATACTTGGAACAATCACAAAAGCAAATACGTTGCAAAAGAAAAAAAAATTACAGGAAAAAACCCCTTTACTTCGTTTGTTGACATTGCAAAAACTGAGTGGAAATTTATCTTTATTTATTTATTTGAATATTATTAAGTGAGGATTTAGTCTTTGATAGTCTCAAACTAATAGCCAAAGCATAGTGTCATGAAGTGCAACACAGACTATGGTCTCCTATGGCTAGTTCTGTACTTTATATTTCCTACCTGTGAGTTTGCCAATGCAGTAATCCATTTATCTGATTCAGAATTATGGTATGTCCTTAATTCTGAAGTAAATTGTATAGACAATATGAAAATATGCACATATTAGGAAGCAAGGTTATAATTATTTTGAACAGAGCTGGAAACATAAGTTTTGTTGCAAATACTTATTCAGAAGCAAAGGACTCCCTAAAATGTTTACATTATCAGATTTCAATGTAGCTTTCAAAGATAATTTTCATAATTAATATGCTGGGAATTTATTTTTGTTACAATATGAGTTACAGTGTTCTTTCTTTGAAGGTTTGGTCAAACATTCATTTTGTGAATGTAGAATGCAAAAGAAGATTATAGACTGATATAGAAAAAAATGAAGAGAAACTTAAATGAAAATTCAACTCGAAGTACAGCAGGTATTGAAAACTTCATTTTTGAAGCTTCTTTATTTTGTATATGCCATTTAAAGCTTGTGTAGTTTGTAGGTGAAACATTTTGGAAGGAACTTTAAGAAAGATGAAACATTGAGTCTTGCTTCTTTTTAGGTCCAAAGAGGTAAAGTAAAACTTACTCAACTAAAAGTATTTAGTGACAGAGGTGGGAGTAAAATAAAAACGTAGATTCACTCTGATTCTTCTGCAGATCCTATGTGCTTGAGTTGTTCTTTGCTTTTAAGATAAAAACAACTATATAGATCTATTTTTAGTTATATTTGTGACTGACTTGTTAAAAATATTTCCAGAAATACATATGTTTTCTAAGAGCTATTATTTCTATTTTCCTAACTTATTAGGTAATATAAGGACAGGACAAAAATGGTGAGAACCAGGTCAAAGAATCAATATGATGCACAATGAAGATAATAATAACTATTATTTATGGTGAACATTTTTAGACATTTAATTATTCATATTAATTTATTTAATTCCTCCACCAACCCTTTAAAAATAGATTATTATTATTGTCCCTGTTTTTCCTATAAGAAACCAAGACACAAAATGGTTAAACAAGAAATCTATTAAATGGTAGAACCAGGATGTAAACCTAAGAATGTGACTCTAGGGCTCATATCTTAATCATTATGTTATTCTCCATCTCAGTTTGTGTCATATTGGCACAAAGAGTTGAAGGAAATTGCCCATGTTTATACTTTGAAGTTGTAATCCAAATATATAATTATTACCTAGGTAGTCTCACTGAAGAGCTCACATAATTTAGTATTCCATTAGAAAGTTTTAGAGTCAGTATTCTGTAGTGTAGTGATCGCAGATAGCTAGATGATGGTCTAGTGGCCAGAGATCTGAACTAAGATTTAGGAAGCTTGGGTCCTATCTGGGTTCTTCCAGATAGTTTCTTGGAAGTGATAGGCAAACTTTTTGGACTTCTTTTCCTCTGAGTTTCCTTATAAGATTTAAAATCTATATATTGTGACTTGTGGCCTGACTTGAGATCCTATTTCTGCTACCTTAGTAAGTAGAGTTAGTTTTTTTTTCTTTTTTGTTTGGATTTGATAGTATCTCTCTCTAAGGCATTCTCAAAATTACATATAAAAATATCATTACAGACACTGGGGGTGCAGACTTTGGGTTCCAGACCAAATATGTTGAAATAAAATTTTATAAGAAAGGGTTTATGGTCTTAGTACTTGAGGTTAAGCAGAATTCTAGTTTAAATCTAAGTCAAACTAAACTGGAGAACCATACCCTAAAAGATGTGCTGGTATTATCCAAAGAGTGATTGGGGTTTTGAAAAACATGGTTCAGTGACCTCTGTTGTACACCATGGATTTTCTACAGTTGATAGGGTAATAGGTAAGCATATGAGAGAAATAAGGAAAACAGAAAGTGGAATGAGAGAAGAAATGGGAATAATTTCCAAACAGGAGGAGTTAAAGCAATGTTAAGATAGTACAAAAAAGTACTTTTTAGAGAGATAAATGAAGCTATTTAGGATTTCAAAAAGAATGTAAAAACCAATTCAAGGGCATAGAAATATGCCTATATTAAGTATATTAACATATGGAAGTAGACATTAAAATTGTGCATTATAAGTATTCTATAAGTAGATCTGATTATGTAGTAATTTATTTTCTGTTATGTACTAATTTATTGGTATATTCAATGTAGGCTGTTTGCCTGTACCATTGTTCAATCAAAAGAAGAGGAATAGACAGCCATTAACATCTAATCCACTTAAAAATGATCCAGGTATCAGTACTGCTTCTGACAGTTATGATTTCCCTCCAATACCAACAGGTAAGAAAAGGAGTAAGGTGAAATATTTCAGGAAACAAGAACTGGGATTGTAGAAAATTGCACGTTTTCTTTATAATGAGAGTAGAAAGATTTTTTTCTTCTTTTACTATCCAAATACAGAAATATCTTGGCTTTTCTTTATCATTCTGATACAGGAGTGTGAGTGTCTCTCTACAAGGGTTGCTTAGCATTTAAATGGAGTATCTTAGATTTGTTTTAATGAAGTAGTAAACTACATTGCAACATTTTTTCCTTTTTCAAACAGATATAGATTTTTGTGATCTGTACATTTGGTAATAAAGAATGGAGAAACTCAAGTTGCCTCAGGAACAGGGATAAGTATGCATGGAACACAGGAAAAAATTAGATTTTAGGAAGGGTAGAAGCCCAGGAATTTTTGGTGCTTGGTTCTGATTTCTTTTGTTTTTGCCTTTCTTAATTGCTGGTTCTTTACTTTCTGCTATGGTGTGAAAATTCATATATTGAAACTTAATCAACAATGTGATAGTAGTATTAAAGGATGGGGGTCTGTAGAAAGTGATTAAGTCATGAAGGTTTTGCCCTCATGCATGGGATTCGGGACACACACTGTGCATGTTTCTGAAGGAGCTTTTTACTTCTTCTATCATGTAAGAGGTGCCATCTGTCAGATACCTAATCTATTGGTGTTTGATATGGGATGTCCCAACCTCCATAACTGTTCAAAAGTAAGCTTCTATTATTTCTAAAATACCCAGTAAAGGTATTTTGTTTTAGCAACCTAAATGGACTAAGGCACTCCTATCCAGTTTGTTTATAGTTTCAACTAGCACATGAACCATGAACTAAGTTGCCATTGCTAGGAGTTTACATAATCTTTTAGTTCTAGCTTTTAGAGGTAATTGATTGACTGTCTTCTGTATCTCTTAATTAAGTCCTGGAGGCAGGGAAGGGAGGCTTTGGTTCATTTTATCATTTAAGCAAGACCACTAAAATCCTGGCTTAGCTTCTAAACCAGTTAGCTGTGGTGGTGAGTGCTGGGAGATATGTTTGCCAACTTTGTACTTCCCTCTGGATGAAGGCTTGGAAAGGCAGACATTTTAAGGTATATTTGGTGCAAGATGGCTGTATACATTTAAACTTGATAGATACTAAAAATTATTAATAGAATATTATGCAACTAGAATTTTTAAAGATCTTTATATACTTGTGTGAGTATATATACATGTGTATATATATATATATATACTTGTATTGCATATATAATATATATATACTATATACTTGTATATGTAACATACAAGTATATATGTTATATATATTATATACATAAGTATATGTGTTATATATTACAAGTATATATAATACTATATATAATACAATATATCATAAATAATATATAATATATATTGTACAGAATATATATTATATATACTAATATTATGTATAAAATACATATTATATTACTAGAATTATACTATATTCAGTGTGTATATATGTATTATATGTTATATATAATATAATGTATTATATGTATAATTGTATTGTTAATTTATTATTTTCCCATAGACCTTAATGTAGCTCTAAAATGATTTTTTCTTTCATGTTAGAGGAATTCGAGGTATAAAGTTTCTATTATTCCCATTTTTATGTATAGAAAATTAGAAATTCACATGGTTAGACACAAGTCAGCATTTATCTAGTCATCCTCTATCATTTAAAAAAATTTCTACTATTCCTCTAAAGACTAGGAATGGAACCACCATTTCTTAGTATTTTTCCTTAAGAATTACAGTTACCATACTGTAGTGAGACATGTATAATCATGTTTATAGCAGCACAATTCACAATAGTCAAATTATGGAACCCACCTAGGTGTTCATCAGTGGATGAATGGATTAAGAAAATGTAATATATATATGCATGTATATATGCATGCAGTGAAGTTTTATTCATCCACAAAATAAAAATGAAGTTATGCCATTTGTAGGGAAATGGATGGAACTTCAGAACATTATGTTAAGCCAAATAAATCCAACCCAATTCAGTATGTTAAGGGTCATCTGTCTTTTCTCATGTGGAAGCTAGAGAGAAAAAAGGAAAATAATGTGTGGAATATGTGTATGTAGTGGGGGTGGAATCTCATGAAAATTAAAGGGAAATCAGTAGAGAAGAGGAAAGGGACCATGGAGGAGGAGGAAGAGTGGGAAAGGGGAAGTATTGGGGATTGATAGTAGCCAAATTATGTTGTTACATTGTATGTATTTATGAATATGTAACAATAAACCTCACCATTATGTACAACTATAATGTACCAATAAAAATATGGAAAAAATAAAAAAAGTTCACCACCACTTAAATTTTTTTCTAAGTAGCATGAATGTTGACCTTGAAAACTAATAAGTATGAACTACTTCATAAGGAAATGTTCATTTTACTGAATTCTGAACTCTTCAAGCTCTGACTGAGATTACTATTTGTCATAGAAAGATCTTACACTGGATAAGGAAAAGTACTACATCAGTGTTTTCCAAATTTTTGTCTTGCCTCAAGAGTTGGGCTGAGATATAACCAATCTGTAAAAAAAAGAAATAGAAACTAGAGTATAATAGAAAAGATCAGTGTGTGACATACATAATAAGGATAATATTTGATGGCGAAATTTTGTTATGTTCTCTTATCCTCTTTTTGTTTGCCTCTGTTCATCTCTCTTAACACACATTATGTATGTGTCTGTTATGGATTATGATGATGTATTTCTTGCTGTGGGGTGGAATAAAAATTGGGATAGACTGCATTTATGTTATAGAGTATAAGAAACAATATTAGAATTTTTATGCTACAAAGTATAAGATTCTATATTAGAATTTATTATTTTTGCTTACAGTACAAGGGGGAGGAAAGATATCTATGAAAATCAATAAGGAAGGCTATTGGCAAATTCAACAATAAAGTGCTATTGAAAAGGATTCCTTTCTCTTAAAGTTTTTACATTTCCCAAGTTAAATAATAAATATGAATTAGTTATTTTGAACAATGTTACCTATTTTACTTTTGTTTGTGTTCTTATTGAGATTGGGCCTGGGAGGCTATGAATCAAGAGTGGGCTCCTTTAACAAAAACAATGAACACAAGGTATGTGGAGAAAAATAAAAGCTAATAAATGTGTGTCTGATGCCATTTTTCTGTGTGTGTTTTACATTTATTGATTTGAAAACAAATTATTTACATTTAACAAGACATATTTCCTTGAAAGCCAAATACCACCTTCAGTTTCTCATCCCCTGAGAAGTCAAGATTCTATTCCTAAATCAATTCAGTCAAATACTGCAAGAAGCCAAAGTGGTTGGAGGTGAGTCTACTTAAAATTTGTCTTCTATTCTTTTTGTCTTTTCTCTCTCCTCCTCTTTCCCCCCTCCTTTAACTTTTCCTAATTTTTTAGATAGAATTGCATTTAGGAGATTTCTATGTTAGTAACTATGGACATTCTCATTGTACTTTTAAATCATCTCTAGATTATATACAAAACTAATATAATATTAATTCTGTGTAAATAGTTGTCATACTATATTGTTTAAGAAATAATGACAAGGAAAAAGTCTGTATTTGTTCAGTACAGATGTTATTTTTTCCAAATATTTTTGAGCTGTGGTTGGTTGAATCTGTAGATGTGGAGATCTATGAGTACGGACGGCTGACTGTTCTCTGTTTTTCTATACATATTTACCTTTGCCAGTGAGTTTCATATATGTAATCTTATATTGCTTTTTAGCATCTTTCTGTTTCAACTTGAAGAACTCTAGTATTTCTTGTAATATATAACCTGTTGAGATCTTTCAGTTCCTTGGCAATTGCTGGTAATGTAACCTAAGCTTAATAAATGCTTGTGAACCAGATGTTTCCACATTTACAGGCATTTGGTGAAGGGAGAAGAGAATTTTACTTTCTTTCTCTTAAAACTAGCATGTTGTCTTTTATTTTGTATCAGTGTGCTTCTCTACTCCAGTAGCTTCCATTCTCTTTAATGATTTTGGCTTTGAACCTAAGTTCTAACTTCTCTAAGGTTTCTAGTCTCACTTCTCCAATAATTATGTCCAGCAATTTGCAGAATTTTCATAATTTTTAAATATGTTACACATATTCTCTTAGAGAATGTTAGAACAGTATGTATTATAAAATTTACAGTATAAATTTTAGAAAATGTTAAAATAATACACATGAATTTTTGGTTGATTTTTCATGATGTTTTATGGTAGTTTAAGGAGCTTTTATTTTCTGCTACTCTGAATTGTGAGTGATTGAGTATAGTTCAGTAGGTTATTCAAAGTGTAGGAGGTTTATTTAGAATAGCAATCATCAAAAACACAAATAATAAATGTTGGCAAGGATATGGTGAAAAAGGAACTCTGTTGGTGGGATTGTAAATTAGTACAATCACCATGGAAATCAGTATGGAGTTTCCTCGAAAGACTGGGAATGAAACTACTATATGGACTGGGGTTTTGGCTCAGCGGTAGAGCACTCGCCTGGCAAGTGTGGGGCCCTGGGTTTGATCCTCAGCACCATATAAAAAATAAATAAATAAAATAGAGGTATTGTGTACAACTACAACAAAAAATAAATATTAAAAAAAGAAACTACCATGTTACCCAACTCTACCTTTCCTCAGTATTTATCGAAAAAACTAGAGTCAGCATACTGTAGTGATACATGCATACACATGTTCATAGCAGTGTAATTCACAATAGCCAAGTTATGGGAACTAGCTTAGGTATCTGTCACCAGAAGAATGGAAAAAGAAAATGTGGGATTTGTACACACTGGAGTTTTACTCAGCCATAAAGAAGAATGAAATTATATCATTTACAGGAAATGGATGGAACTTGGGAGCATTATGTTAATCAAAATAAATCATGCTCAGAAAGTCAAAGGGTCATGTTTTCTCTCATGTGTAAACTAGAGAGAAAAAAGGAAAAGAAAAACAAAAGGTAGAAGGAGCTCATGAAATTAAAAAGGAGATCAGTAGAGTAGAGAAAGGGGATCAGGGGGAGGGAGGAGGGAGGAAAATAGAGATACTGGGGAATTAAATTATGTTATGTGCATGTATAATATGCCACAAAGTATATCCCATTAGGGTCATCCACTATATTCTGATGATACATCTGGGGCTACAGGCCCTGGGTAGTGGGTGGCCAGTCCTACTTTCACATCCATATGGACTCAGCAACAGCTTGCTGTTGGGGATTTTGTTGACTATCTGGACCTATATTTTCTTCAACAAGAATGATTCAGGGGAGATGCTGCTACTTCCCTGCTTAGAAGCCCCTGCAACTTGGACTTTATGGTCTGGTTGGGGTGTTGAGGACATGGCTGAGTTGGATTGACTTCTGAGACACCATCTCTGTGTGGGCCCACTGCAAAGGTGAAAGGACTGTAGTTCTCTCAGGGATAGTTTCCAAGCTAGTAATATCTTAATGAGTAAAAATGTTGCTAATGTTAGATGTACTATTAAATAGTTGTGAAGCTAAAAGAAATCTTTCTAGACTATAAATAATAAAAATAATTTGAATAGCCATGAGAGAGGAAAGACAAAATTGTATTTCTGTACTCTCTACTGAAATAAAGTAACAAAATTGTTGTCATAGGAAAAGGAGGTGATCATTGTTGGAAAAAAGTCTTGAGTGTCAGGCAGTTAATAAATAATAATCCTAGTCATATTTTTCTTGGATATTATAATGTTTATGGTATAACTTAAATTTTTTAATTGTGATTTTTTTTATTCCATCTTGTTCATATTTAATTTTGCACTTAATTTATTTAACTGTACTTTCCAAATTATTCAAGCTTCGGGTTCTAGAAAACCTAGATTTTTTTATATTACTAGAAAATCTAGACCTTCTTTTGGATTATTTTCTTAAACAAGAGATGGGTTGTATTGATTGTCTTCTTGTAATAATACTGGTGATATTTCCAGGAAAATTATTCAGAATTAAGAACTTGTGACTTGCACTAGCTTTTTCCTTTGGAACTTTAATGTTTAGAAAACACCCTTCTGATTTTAGCCTCATTAACAACATGTTCTGATCAACTGCTACAACTCCATTTAGATTAATGTAGTTAGTAAATACTATAACAGATTGATTAGTATGGCTTTTTAGATACACAGTAAAAGCACAAAATATCTAATTAGAGCTGTCTACCCTGTGTATATTCATTTTGCTTGTGATTTAAAATCATTGATAAACCATGGCTTAACTTTAAAAATTTACTTTGTAGTAATTTAAAAATAAATGTATAAAGAATTAATAAGCAAAATCTTTCCACTTGGAGACAACCACTGTCACTTAAAGGCTGGCATAGTTTAAAAATATATGGTGTAGGTTTCTCTTGGTTCTAAACTTGTTAGTAACTTGATATATGACTTTGGGTACACTATTTCCTCACTAAGACTCTTTGTCCTCATCGGGAAAGAGAGGTAATTTATTGTAGAGTTGTCGCAGTGATGTGTTTGGAATTTCAAACTAGTTAGTTACAAAGTAGTTTGTAAACTAGGAATTGCCATATAAATAAAATTTTTATGATTGCCTTTAAAAAAGTATAAAGAAATAAATGTTTTTCCTTTTCCCCTTCTTTTTCTTTTTTCCTATTATATCTACAGAGATGACAACAAAAATACCAGCTTGAAAACTTGGGATAAAAATGACTTTAGACCTCAATGTAAAACAACAAAACTAGTGACAAATGATGGAAAAAATTCTTTTCCAGTGAATTTGGGAACTCAGATACCACAGAAACAATTAAGGGTATCTGAAACTCCTGATTTATCTTATCACAGAGAAACTGAGGTTCTCAGACAAATGTGTTCATCAAAAGTTTCTGGCTCCACAGTAAAAGGCCCAGATAAAAACAGTGCATTACAGACATTTAAGCCCAATTTTCAACAAAATCAATTTAAGAAAAAAATGTTGGATGATATTCCAGAAGAAAACACTCTGAAGGTAAACATTTAAATATTAAAGAATGAATGAATGACTTATTTTTATTTTTAAAATGTGAAGTAAATAGCTATTTAGAAAGTTATAGATGTAAGAATATTTGAAATCAATCCCCTAGTATATGTTACTTGATTAGCATAAATATCCAGTTCCATTGGAGGGATGAATATTAGTTTGTAAAATATTTTCTTAGCAGGTAACTGCTCTTTTTCATAAATGCTTCAGAGTTTCCTAGTGGATTCGGTGTTTCACTGCTTACTGATTATTAGCATAACAATTTATTCTTTGCTTTCAGAAATTATCCAACTCTGTTTATCATTCTTACATATTTTTCCCCAACAGAGAACAAAAACATTTTTCTGTAAAGGGCCAAATAATAAGTATTTTTGGCTTCATGGGCCACACTATCTCTGTTGCAATTACACAACGATGTTACTCAACTCTGGCACAGCCATAGACAGTATTTAAATGAATGGGCATGTCAGTGTTCCAGTATAAGTGTAAAGAAACATCAAAGATTAGATTTGGAGTACAGGCCATTGTTTGCTGATTTTTGTTTTATCATCTGGACCTATTCTACTTTACCAACCTCAGTATTTCACATTCCGCTAATTCTTCAATGTGCTAGTCATTCCAAACTCTGCACAGTTCTCCAAACAAACATGGCATGCATTCTAATTAATCCCTGCTTTGGTTTGTATTTTCTATATCTGTACCTCAGCTTCATATTCTCTTTATGCACAGTATTCTACTTATTTTTATAAATGTCTTCTATATAGTATGTGTGCTGGTTATTCTTCCCTTTCTCACTCCCCTGGCCCATTGGATTCTTTATCTCTTCTTCTCTGTACCTTAGAAGGCTGAATCATCTACATAGTACCTCATCCTGGGATTCTTTTACCTGCTGGCTTTTGCTAAAGATCGCCCAATGGGAGTCATTGGGAGGACATCAAAGGGTGGGTGGAGAGGTTGTGTTTTCCCATTTTTCTCCCTACTTAAATGTTGTACTGATGGAAGTGGCTGTGTCCCTACATGACATAGTCTTTTCAGGAGTCTAGCTTTCATGGATTGGATAATTTTATTTCTTTCCTTGTTCTTTCAGCCTGGGAGTGGTAATAATTTCATACTATTGTTAGTCTTTGGGTGCTTAAGTTTGTTTTAGTCCATATATCTGTAAAAACAGTCTTTTCAGTAAGCCATCAGGGTAAATTCTGCTTTTCGAAAGAAAAGAGACTCTCTGGAAACCAGTATAGCATGAGACCAATATAGCATGTTTTATAGTGATTCTCAACTTTATGATTCCTTGTACATAAATGATATGACATAGTCAACTTAGTAACAGTGACATTAATCTTCAACTGTAGTTTTATTAGAATTGTTGTTAGGAGGAAGAAAAGGGGCAAAGTAATTGTATTTTTTTAAAAAGAGTCCCATCAGGTGTTCTTACAAAACTCATCCTGACAAAATTGTCCCCACCCCACCTGAGCTGGGAAGATGAGGTCCAGGAAGAAGCAGTCCATGGAGAGAGGTGCTGTCTGCTAGGAGATAGAACTCAGGAGGAGATGCAGCCATATGCAAGCTTTTGGAAGATAGTTTATTGGAATTAGGGTAATTCATGGCTTTGTATTTGCCAAATTCACATGAAAAGAACATTATGGAGAGAATTGTGGCCAGTGTTTTATCTCAGAAATAACTAGTGCCTTTTTTTCATAATTTCTCTAGTCCCTGAGAAACTATGAGGGCTCAGCTGGTCTGTTAATCTATAGGACATTTTTATGACAATTAAAATATCACTCTAAGGAGGGTCTTTTGTTCCACTGTCAGGTTTTATTAGGCTAGTATAAGCTAATAAAACATAATAAAATTATACAGCTCATATTACATTTAAAACATAGATTTGTAACACTTAAGGCTATACCCAGAAAATATACTGGACTTTGGTGTCAACCAAACAAAATTAATCACACAGATCCTTAATATGTGATTATAATTTTTCCCTAAGTGTAAGTTTCTTTGTTTGAACCACTTAACAAGTTTCATCCTCCACAACATGATGAAAATTTTAACAGCAACTAAAATTCATTTTATATTCTTTTGTCAGACACTTGCAATGGTTGAATATAAATAAATCTAACTCCTTTCAAAAAAAATTGTCCCCACCCTTAAAAATTAGTATCTTACATTGTATTCTTAGTTTGATCTGTAAAAATGCTAAACACATTTCTACCTTAGGGTCTTTACACTTGCTATTCTCTCTGCCCCACTTCACCATCCACTAAAAATAATAATCTCTCTCTTTGTCCTTTTATCTTGTTTTTTAAAAATACATAGAATATATCAATTCTTAATGTTCTGTTATGTATTTATCTATTGTATGAATCCCCTTTTAGATTATAAAATATGTGAAGGCTGATATCTTGTTAGTTTTGTTCATTATTGCTTCCTTAAAAGCTATGTTTGGCACACGGTAGGTGCCCAGTTAACACTTTTGAAGTGAATCAGTGAATGTGTCTGATTCACCTCCTTGTGTGGAGCACATTGGAGAAAGTGTTTTACTCACAGGTCTATCACAGGATGTGGCACATGATGCTTATTGAATGAATTAACAAATGAATGAGTGGATGAGTGCTGTATAAATGATTCTCTTCTTGATTGCCTCTGAGTGCATCCTGGTTTATCCTTCTATAATATACTAATGATGGTTTTAATTTGGGGAAGTAATTGTATTGAAACTTTTAGTAGTTCTTTTTACATATTTACTTATAAAGACCTAGAATCTTTACATAGAAGGTAAAAGTATATGAAGAGAAATAGAAAGATTTTTCTAATGTTATGTTTTTATTTTTCAAAAGGAAGCCTCATGTCGGTTACAGTTTAAGGAAAAAAATAATTCTCTAAGAATTATTTCTGCAGTTATTGAAAGCATGAAGTATTGGTGTGAACATGCACAGAAAACTGTACTTCTTTTTGAGGTGTTGGGTAAGTATAATACTTTAAAAATATGTCAGGTCATACTATCTGGACAAGTTTTTAATATTGATAGGAATATCTAAGGGATCTTGAAGAAAAAAATTTTGTGAAAGGAAAATATGTTTTATTAGAATTTTTTAAGTTCTTGGTTGGGTGTGTCATTGATTTGTATGAGTTAAGTATTTGTGGCAGTATTCTTCTGATTTATAGTGTTATAATTGAAAAGACATTTGCATGTAATCTATCCTCTTGAGTTATATGAGGAAATTGGGCAAATAATTAAAATAGACTTGATTAAAATTATGAAGCTAGTTAGCAGCAGAAATTAGTCTAGAATCAAAAACAGCATACTAATGGAGCACAGCCACATCAGTGTTTATAGCAGCACAATTCACAATAGCTAAACTGTGGAACCAACCTAGATGCCCCTCAGTAGATGAGTATATAAAGAAAATGTGATATATATATATATATATATATATATATATATATATATACATACATACATACATATACACACACACACACACACAATGGAACATTACTGAGCAACAAAAGAGAATAAAATCATGGCATTTGCAGATAAATGGATGGCCTTGGAGAATATAATGCTAAGTGAAGTTAGCCAATCCAAAAAACCAAATGCTGAATGTTTTCTCTGATATAAGGAGGCTGATTCATAGTGGGGTTGGGGGGGCATGGGAGGATTTGACGAACCCTAGATAGGGCAAAGAGGTGGAAGGATAAGGGAGGGGTCATGGGAGTAAAAAAGATGGTGGAATGAGATGGATATCATTATCCTAAATACATGTATGAAGACACGAATGGTGTGAATATACTTTATTTACAACTAGAGATATGAGAAATTGTGTTGTATATGTGTAATATGAATTGTAATGCTTCTGCTATCATATATAACAAATTAGAATAAAAACAAATTTTAAAAAAAGAATCTAGAATCTGAATCTCCTTATTCTAAATCTAGCATTTGAAGCAAAGCTCATCCAAATATAAATTAAATCATATTTGAAATACTCTGAAAGAACATTAAGAATACTGATAAGAATAACCACCCTATAACTAATCTGTTTTCTAAATTAGCATTTAAAAGTAGGTGAGTTTTGTAGAATGTTTCTGGAACTTGATCTTACCTAGAATGAAGAGATAAACAAGTAAGATTTGAGATTCAAAACATATTTATTTCCATTATTTAAATTTAATAATAGTATTTATTTAAATTACAAAATAATCCAAACATATGGAAATGTACAGAGAATATAATAAATATCCATATGACCATGTCATAGGTATATTTGATGCCCCTGTATATTTGCCTCTCTAGAGAGAGCTACTGTAGTATCTTTTATGCCCATGATTTTTATCATTTTATAGTATACATTTGATTCCATAAGCTTATATTTTTGGTTTATGTATTATAGAAATACAAAGCTTGCATTTTCAGCCAGTATACTTTTTGAGATTTAGATATGGTGTTTCTTCATTGTTTTAACTTCTATCTTGGGTAGTTCTTTCCCTCTGAAATAAAAGTCTTATTTCTGCTGCTCCCTGAAGTATATTCAAAGAATTGCAGTTTTCATAATAGTAATGACAATTGCAGATTTAATAATATCTATGGTAGACAGACTGTTGGCACCTCAGATGTCTGTGTCCGAATTCCCAAAGCCTACGAATATTACCTTATGTGGTTGAGGGGCTTGGATGATATGGTTAAATTAAGGATCTCAAAGTGGGAAGATTATCTTGGAAATCTTGGTGGGCCTGACATAGTTACAAGGGAAGCAGGAAGGTCAGAGTCAGGGAAAGATTGGAATATATTATCCTGCCAGCTTTGAGTTAGAGGAAAGAGTCATAATTCAAAGAATGCAGTGTCTAGAAGCTTTCAAAAGGAACACGACCTTGCCTGACCTGTTTTAGATTTACACCACATTGTCACATTTTTAGATGAATTTCTTTTGGTTGCTCTTTCCCAGAAATAAACTAATGGACTTTTGGGTATCATTATTTCTGAATGGTAACATACCCATCACTGAAACCCTGATCTGTGTATCTGGGGAATGGAATATGCTTTGGCTTAAGTCACAGGTCACCCCTGGATCTGTGGGTGAGAACAAAGCTCACCCACATCTAAAAATAGAATATATGTGGTTTCCAATAGAGGTTTCCTAAAGGAAAATCTGGATCTTATTAGGATAAATGTAAGTGAACCTCAAAATATCAAATGCCTACTACTAGTACTTAGTAGATGTTTACTGAAGGAATAAACAATGTAATTTGATAAAAATTTCTGAAGATAAGCATGGATTAGTATTTGTATTTTACAGGTACAGAAATAGCTTTGTAAAGAGGTTGAACAGTTTGCTCAAGGGGAAGGAAATGGGGAGATATAGGTAAAAGGGTACAGATTTTCAGTGTTGTAGGGTAAACTTAGAGATCTAATTAATGTATTCATGGAGGACTATAGTTAATATATTGTATGTTGAAAAATTGAAGAGAATAGATCTTAGGTGCTCTTTCCACATGAAAAAAGGTAACTATGGAAGGTGATGGATATGTTAATTTGCTTATCTGTACTAATTATTTCACATTTTCAGTACCGTATATGTATGTATCTTGTTATATACCCTAAATAATACATTAAAAATAAATTTAAAAACCAATTTCTTGAAGTTACAAAATATTAGTAAGTTGAAGAACTGGGACTGGAATGCATGACTTCTGATTATAATTCAGTGTTTTTACATTAAGCTGTCATGCTTATTATAATAATGTACTTATTATTATAATACAGTAGACTGGTCTGGGGATTTAACCACTATAGAGAACATGGTCTATGGAAAAAGTTTCAGATGGCCCACCATTGCCAATTGTACGAACTTGATATATAATCTGTTTCTAAATAAGAAAGGGCTCAAATATTTTCTTTTCCATAAAATTGTTTCAGAAATATCATTCCTTTTAAAAATGTCTTCTTTATTACTATAAATAGAACTATAAATAGGTTGATGTGGAAGTTATTTAAGCATAACTTTTTGTTACATTTTATTTTATTTATTTGCGTTTCTAATGTTGATTTTCCCCCTTATTTCAATGTGGTTTAGCTGTACTCGATTCGGCTGTTACATCTGGCCCATATTATTCAAAGAATTTTCTTATGAGAGATGGGAAAAATACTCTGCCTTGTGTATTTTATGAAATCGTGAGTATTTTTTAAAGCATTCTTTGCAAAGACCATGCCAACAAAACAAAAAATGCAGGCTGTGATTTCAGTGTATTAGAAATTCAATTTGTTTAGTACTTGAAACATTTTGTTTGCTTGTAGTTCAGATATTAAAGTTATTTACTTAATCTGGAGAGCTTCCTATGTGTCAAGCACTGCATTGGGTGCAAAAGATATAATGTGAAATACAGTGATAAATGGCTCCTTCTCTTAAGGAATTTCTGATTTCAAATAGAAAGACAAATACATAAATGTTATAATGTTATATGATAGAGGTATAAGAAGGGTGCTACAGATGTAGATAAGAAGAGTGGGCCAGATCAGAGAAGGATGTTCAAAGAGATCATCACCTGTATTATCTTAGATATTTAAGAACCAATAAGAGCCAAATAAGCCCAAGTGTTGGTAGGGCAATAGGTGGGGAAGATTCATTTTAAGGTGAGGGGGCAACATATGGCAAGACATGAAGCTAAGAGAAAGTCTGACTTGTTCAGGGAGCTGCAAGTAATATATAATTACTACAATGAGAAATTAGAAAGTGAAGGGGTTGGAGGTATGGGATTCTGAAGTTAAAGCAGGAGTGGCTTGGGATATAAGCAAAGGCTAGGTAACAAAGGCTAGAGATCCCAAAGGAGGCCGGAGACCTTTTAAGACCTACATGTTTTATGAAAGGTATTGATTTTAATTCTGAAATTGGCCTCAATTCTGAAATCACACTTGGATTCCAATGTTTAGTATACTTCAGTATTTACCAGCCTTATGACATAAGTAAGCTGCTCAAACTATTTGAGCTTCAGGTTTTTAAATATCTGCAAATGGGGAGATGAATTCCTGCTTTGAAAAGTTGTTGTGGAGATGAAACGATAAAACAAATGCACAGTGCCTGACACACAGTAGGTGATCAAGAAATAGTAATTGTCATGTTAATTATTTTAATATCTTGGATGTTTATTTTTTCCAGTGTAAGTATTTTTTAAAACCGTTATTGAACTATAACATATACAGAAAAGTACACTATTTCTAACTGTATAGTGATATGAAGCATCAAAGTGAACACTTCCCAAGTTAAGAAGTCAAATGTTGTTGTCATCTCTGAAGCCCCATTGAACTTCTTCCCATAAATTGTATCATATGGTATATCTTTTGAAAAATGTGTGGTATCACTCAACACAATGTAGGATTCATCTATGTTATTGCATGCAGCTATAGTTCATTCATTTATGTTGCTACATATTTGGTTATGCAAATATTCCACAATTTGGAATTTTATTTTATTGTTGATGGACATTTGGGCTAGTTAAAGAGTTTTTTTGCCGTTATGAATAATAAGCATAATGAATATGAACTTTTTTGTATATATTTCTTGTGCATATGCATGCATTTCTGTTTGGTGTATCTGTAGAAGTAAAATTGCCACGTTATAGAGCTAATATAGTGGTTATTGCCAAAGGATTTTCCAAGGATTGTATCAGTTCATACACCAACAAGGAGTGTAGGAGAGTCATGGTTTCTCTGCATTCTGTTTTTTTGTGTGTGGTGCTGGGGATTGAACAAGGCAACACTATACCAACTGAGCTATATCCCCAACCCCTCTCTGCATTCTTATCAACAGTTAGTATTGTCTTTTTTATTGTAGCCTTTCTGAGCAAGTTAAATGTTCCCTCATTTCTCTGCCTGGTGACCAGTGTTGCTGAGCACGATTTCATATGTTTATTGGCCATTTAGATAACTTCTTTTGTAAAGTCTGTTAGGTCTCTTGCTTTTTTTCCAATTGAATTACTGGTCTTTTTCTTATTGATTTATGGGATTTTTTTGAAAAGCTGTTCTAGGCACAAACTTTTTGTTAATATTTACTTCAAATATTTTTCTCATATTCCATGGTTTGCTTTTTCACTTTTAATGGTGGCTTTAATGGAGGGAAATTCTTCATTTTATTGTAGTCCATTTTAAAAATCATCAAGTCTTTTCCTCTGTTTTAAGTCATAACCTTTTAGTGAAAGAAGTTTCTGAATGCTTTAGTTTTATTCATGATTGAGGGGGTTTAGAGATTTCTGGTCTTTTATTCTGATTAATTAGTTCCCTTAAATGTGTAGCTTTGTTTTGGTTCCAACCCTAAACCTGGGGTGGGGTGGGAGTGATTGCTAGAATCTCTTTTCTTGGGATCATCAGACTCCATTTTTTGTTTTCCCAGCTCTAAGACTGTTAAAAATCTCCGCTCACTTCTTAGATTCTAAATTACCTTTCTGTAATGGCAGATATCTTAAGGGAGAATGCATCCCCAAATCAGGCTTCATCTTGAACTTTCATGCTGTCCAGATGAGGTTTATATAACTCCTCACTGCTTTGATATGTCTGATGCCTATGCAGGGGATTTTAAACATTTTTTTTAGTACAGCTATTCTACTTCTCAGCTGGTAGTTAGTTGATATGAACCACCTTTTTTCTGCCATGTACTGAAAGTGGAACTCTTGACAGTCTGACAGAAGAATGGATAATTTATGTGCCATTACATTAAGAATTATTAAGTTATTTAATAAGCAGCATCTTGCTCTATCTTGTAAGAAGCCCTGTCCAAGTTCATGTCTTTACTCTGTGACAGGGCATCCATATATGACTAATTGTCATAGACTTTGTCAGCAGTGGGGCCCTGACTCAGGTGAGGAAAGTATAATATTTGGGGTGATTATTTCTAGTTGTTACATTATTTGTTAAAAAATTAAAATTTAGATGAAGTAACAAGTTTTAAAAAATATTTATGTTTTGAGAAACAGGATCGTGAACTTCCAAGACTGATTAGAGGCCGAGTTCATAGGTGTATTGGAAACTATGACCAGAAAAAGAACATTTTCAAATGTGTTTCTGTCAGACCAGCATCAGTTTCTGAACAAAAAACTTTCCAGACATTTGTTGAAATTGTAGATGCTGAGATGAGTTATTATACTAAAGTAATGAATGAAATTTAGATAGTATAAATTAAAGCATTTTCTGATATTGTTTAATTTATTGTTTGTATAGTTATGGAGCTACTGTGTTTCTGTGTTTTACTTCTTGAATTAAAATGTTTAAATCCTTTTAAAAAAGTGGAAATAGTTTTTGAAAGATGGGATGTATTTACTAAAATTCAGTGACCATTTTAGATAAAAATGCCCACTATAATAAAAATAGATGGATACTTTCTCAACATGGGATAATAATATATCTGAGGCAGCCCAAAAGCCAGTGTCTCACTGAAGGGGGATCACTGAAGGCATTGTGACTATCAGTACCATTCTTCTTAAGTACTATTATTAAACATTGTTCTGGAACTGCTGGTTTGTGTGGTTCATTTAATTACTTCATTTTTTAAATTTCAAGAACAGCATTTTATTCTTCTGGTGTATAAAATACGAGGAAAAAGTTAAATCAAGGACTTAAAAGATGCTTGCTTAATATAGTTTTAAACTATAAAATTATTTCTCTGGAGGCAACTAACCTTACATAGTTTCAATCACAGTTCAACAGAGATACCAAGAAACACATCCTGTGTTCCTTTTCCTTGGTATCAATTTATTTCATTTCATTCTATTCCTTCTATTCTGTATCTTATATCACTTTCCTTTCTTCTTTCCCAACCCTCTTTCTGCCTTTTGGACAGGCTATTGCAGTCAGATCCCAGTTGGTGTCTTTCCTTGGTGTGTAGGATAGATGAAGAGATATGGACTAGTGATATCTCCTAAAACGTTTTTTTTTATATTAGTTGTTCAAAACATTACATAGCTCTTGACATATCATATTTCATACATTTGATTCAAGTGGGTTATGAACTCCCATTTTTCCCCTGTATACAGATTGCAGAATCACATCGGTTACACATCCACGTATCTACATACTGCCATACTATTGTCTGTTGTATTCTGCTATCTTTCCTATCCTCTACTATCCCCCCTCCCCTCCCCTCCCATCTTCTCTCTATACCCCATCTACTGTACTTCATTTCTCTCCTTTTTTCCCCCTTTCCCTTTACCTCCTCTTATATGTAATTTTGTATAACGATGAGGGTCTCCTTCCATTTACATGCAATTTCCCTTCTTTCTCCCTTTCCCTCCCACCTCTCGTCCCTGTTTAATCTTAATCTTCTTCTCATGCTCTTCCTCCCTGCTCTGTTCTTAGTTGCTCTCCTTATATCAAAGATGACATTTGGCATTTATTTTTTAGGGATTGGTTAGCTTCACTTAGCATAATCTGCTCTAGTGCCATCCATTTCCCTGCAAATTCCATGATTTTGTCATTTTTTAGTGCTGAGTAGTACTCCATTGTGTATAAATGCCACCTTTTTTTATCCATTCATCTATTGAAGGGCATCTAGGTTGGTTCCACAGTCTAGCTATTGTGAATTGTGCTGCTATGAACATCGATGTAGCAGTATCCCTATAGTCCGCTCTTTTAAGGTCTTTAGGGAATAGTCCAAGAAGGGGAATAGCTGGGTCAAATGGTGGTTCTATTCCCAGCTTTCCCAGGAATCTCCATACTGCTTTCCACATTGGCCGCACCAATTTGCAGTCCCATCAGCAATGAACAAGTGTACCCTTTTCCCCACATCCTCGCCAGCACTTATTGTTGTTTGACTTCATAATGGCTGCCAATCTTACTGGGGTGAGATGGTATCTTAGGGAGGTTTTGATTTGCATTTCTCTGATTGCTAGAGATGGTGAGCATTTTTTCATGTACTTGTTGATTGATTGTATGTCCTCCTCTGAGAAGTGTCTGTTCAGGTCCTTGGCCCATTTGTTGATTGGGTTATTTGTTATCTTATTGTTTAATTTTTTGAGTTCTTTGTATACTCTGGATATTAGGGCTCTATCTGAAGTGTGAGGAGTAAAAATTTGTTCCCATGATGTAGGCTCCCTATTTACCTCTCTTATTGTTTCTCTTGCTGAGAAAAAACTTTTTAGTTTATGTTGTTTGTGTTGATTCTTGATATTAACTCTTGTGCTATGGGTGTCCTATTAAGGAATTTGGAGCCCGACCCCACA